CTGCTGTTCATATCACTTTTGTGCTTTTCAATGTATATCTTATTTTCTGAAAGTCATTATTTAGGAATGACTGATCTATATATGTATCATTCGGACAGTGTTGACTTGTTTTCGAATTATCTCAGCAATGCACGATCGATGTGTAGTTTATTGTTATATAAAACAAGAATGTTCAGTTGCTTGAAATATAGCTGATAAATAAACAGTTGCTGGAATATCGAACATTTAAGGAACGTTGAAGTATAAAGGCAGAAATTTGAATCTACAAATTGTGGCAGACATACCAGTGTTATGATTTGAATTCTTTCTTGCATATCTCTTCACAAACTCACGCTTGACTATCATTCTCGGAGCAAGCACTGAGTTTCACTCGAAGAAAAAGTAGTTTGCTTTCAGTATTTAACAGGGTGTGGATGTGTGGGTGTAGGTGTGAGTATGGGATGTGGATGTGAATATGAGTTATCACTGTTACCCACACCCATACCCACATCCTGACTGGTAACCAATCGGATCAGTCCCAGGCGGACAAGTATCCAGTTGGACTGGAATTGGTACATACCTATCAGTGGTAAGCATACATAAAAAATTGGATGGAGCTAGAGAAGGAACTGTGTGCTAACAAATTTTTATCTTTTATGTTATAGATACTGTACTTTTGGATTTAAAGATGAGATACTACATTTATTTTTCTTGACTCATAGAAAACAATATGTTTCTGCAAATTCCTACAATATCAATACCTCTTTTATAGCATAATAGAGCATACATGCTTGGTAAAGGAGAGAGAGAAAGATCGAACAGCTTTTTCAATAATTGATGTATAATCTACAAATTGCTTAGATTTTCTCAAGCATCCCATAGCAAAACTCTGCCTACAACCAAGCTTTTCTAAATGAATTCAGACTTGCTCTTTAAAGTAAGCAATTTCCAGACAATTGAGTCAAATAAGGCTATCAAATATTTGTTTCAATATAAAATACATTTATCTTTTAGAAAGATTTGGTTGCAATGTGTCGATATGGATATGTATAGTTGTTTCTTGAAACCAGACCCACATTCACACCCATACCCACCCATTTTATTTCCAATAAGCATGTGTTTCTAAGATATTCAAGAAGAGAATGATTCGAAGATTATTTTATATGACTTTTTTTGTGTTTTTATTGTTAAAATGGAAATATGTTTTTTTTCGGCACAAATTAGAGATGTGAAATTCCATGCCTTCACTTCTGCTGATGCTGTGGTAATGCTATGATAGATGCTGTAGGATTTAGAGCCGATGGTTGTACAGTATTCTGTCGAGTAAGCATCTGTTTAATAGACTTCCGTATTTCAGGCAGTCCGATGAGACACATAAACGGACACAGGAGACAAGATAAGTACTGAGTGTAGCTAAGAATAGTGATACCTAACTCGACAGCAAACTGGTTTGGAACAATCAATGGAACCACAAAACATACAACACTGGGAATCCAAATAATGATGTACATGATAGAGACGGATGCTAGCTGAACAACCATTTTACGATTGCGTCGCCAGATCCTTTGTTGACCCACTCGACGTTTTTGGAGAAGAACTCGAACAATGAGTGTCACCGTTGCAACAGTACCAATAACAACAGGACCACAGACGTTAAACAGCCAATCATATAAGCCTAGAAGAAACTTTAAAAAACAAAAGTAATCAGATTGCATCATTTTTTTTTTCATTTATTTAAAACAGAAGTTGAATTCATGTAACTTCAGTGCGCATAAGCATCGTGACAAATCTTCAATATCTAGCCCTAGCACACTGTGTGAAAAAGCTTGTTAGCACAACTCCGAAGGAGCTGAAATGTGGAACTCATGCATATCCTTCAAACCTGTTATCCTCATGCATGATTCATAAGCTGAACAATACTTGTTGTTCAAATATTTATGAAAGCATTGAAATATTGTATAGAATCTAACGCCTTTTGTGCGCGGTTGTTGAGATCTGTAATGGAGGGGGGGGGGGGGGGGGAAGGGAGTGTGTCTGTAATGTTCTCTTTCTCCGTTGCTAGGTGTCTGTAATGGGAAGGGGGAGTGAGGAAGCCGCCAAGACTTGAACTTAAAACTTACACTCACTATTTTCTTCGAAAATATATGTGAGTTCCACAAAAAAAGATGCTTTGACAGATAAAAGAAGTGGTCTTCTCTGAGAAAAGGCCTACCCATTAATCAGTTATCCTGAATTTAACACACTTCTCTCTCTTGTCATGAAATTATAGGAAGCGATGTTTTTCTTTGACACTAGGAGTTACACAACATTCAACAGATGAAAACAAGATTTTCTACTTGCAAAACAGTAAACTTTGTTTTTCTTCAACTAGTAAATCAAGTGTACAGTGACTTGAAGTCTCAGGTATCAGGCGACACAATAATCGAATTTAATATGATGTATTCAATACGGCTTCTCAGAACATATCAGGACTATCTCTAAGGATCATTTCGAACACTTATAATGTACTCGATGAAAGGTACCTCGAATTGATAACATGCTCCACCACAGACAAATTTTGTGTAATCGAAGTTGGTTTCACACGGATAGATGACGATCAGCCCGAAGTACAGCAGAGGTGGATAGATCAGCAAGAAGACTAACGGCCCGTAATGAAGTAAAATGACATGTTTTTTGAAAAAGATTCGATGGTAGATAAGAAAATATCTCTCAATACATCCAAAAGCCATGAACATGAGACCAATGACTACCAGCGCATAGTTGTACACTGGCCAAAAGAGACAAAACAGACGTGATTGAACAGCTACAGATCCTGAATGTAACACAATCAATGTCAACGGCATTTCTGTAGTCACCTTCACAAAAAAGAAACAATGTTTTCTTTGAAAACAAATATTCATCACTCACTTGTATCAAATTGATGAATAGCAAAGCAAGAATAACATGATTGTTGAGTTGTCTAGTAAGTTCTCGAGATCGAGCAAAATGATACAAGATGAAAAGAGAAAAAATGATTGAAGGGATCATCAAAGTGAATAGAATCCCAAGAATAATGGATCGACTCAATGGTGTGTCAAGTTCCATCTTCTTTTACTTGCTGATTTTGAATATGTTCACGGTGAAGCACTCTCTATAATTTCATCTGGTAAGTAAAAAAAATGTCTGTCATCGTCGTCATTTTTAAAATTTTTTTCCGAGAAACCTTTTGAGCTGCATGACATAGAGATAAAGTAGCTTATCAGATAAACAAATTATCTTTTTTTTTCTACTGACAGTGTAGTGCGTAATTCTTGAAGAGTGGATGATCTATCTTCAGAAAAATGCCTGTCCTTTATAGTGCTATTAATAAATCTATTGTCAATGACAAAACTTCGTCTTTTTTTTTCCAAACTTTTGTTGAATAAAATGCGCTACATAAATGAATCATTCAATAGAAAAACAAGGTTATAGAATTTATAATCATATAATGAGATATAAAAAAATGATGTATTCAAATTGTACTTTCGGACAATGTTGACGTAAACAAATCGTGGTTATTAATTCGTGAACTATACTTGAAACCATTCGAAATAGTTGATTTGACTGGCAAAGAAAAACTGCTACGCTTAGTATATTAATTAAGCAATCAACTCTTTCGAAAAATAGTTTATTACTTTAATTCCACGCAGGCGTACGATGTAAAACTTATATAAACCTTGAATTTTTCAATATTAGCAGCTGCTATTTTATTCTGTAATATTTGATCAAGTAACTGTTGCTGACAAAAAAATAAGGTGAACTGAAACTTATGTTTGTTTTTTTACATCTGACTTCTTATTTTAAGGTTTCTCAATACTCAAATATTGTCACAATTGCACGATGCTAGTATTTACCGAGATCTTGACAACTAAACCGAACTTTTCTAATAGTTTGTAATCAAATTATGAGCTAAAAGCTACTACTTATTAGATTTGTGTGAAATTCAGTTAAAAGTAGTCCAGAAAAGTGCAGTCGAGATGCTGCGATGAAAAGTCTTTAGATGCCTCATTTTCTTTGATGTTCAGAGAACGATGGTTTATTCGTTGGATTGTCCTATTAAGAGACGCATAGTTTGAGGTTCAAACATGACATCAACCTCTGACATTTATTAAGTCTTGAACTTTGATCAGAAAACAGATGCACACACTGAATATTATACTTATCTATATTTATATAAAGATTAAGAAATTGTATGCATCAATCAATGGTTAACACAAAACACTAATGAATTTGAATTACATTTCAAAAGAACAAATTTGTAAGTTGATACTTTTTTCAGAACGTATAAACTCTGCAAAACAACAAAACGTTACATCCTAAGGTCAAAAATGTTTATTCTCACGATAAAAAAAAATTTCGAGAATTTTTCATGTTAATAGAGATATTTAATCAACAGAGCTACTTGCTAACGAAGTCGATTGTATAGTAAAATAACTATGAATGGCACTCGGAAAGGGTATGGGTGTGAAATCTGAGTGTATAAGAAGGAAATAACCACAAAGATCTACACCCATCCACACCCTAAGTTTTGAGAGCAATGGTTTACATCCTCATCGGTTTCATTAATAAAGATTGTGAATTCTCATGGAACGAAGTCGCAATATATTTACATAAAGAGGATTAGGCTGTGGGTGTGGATGTCCTTGTTTCTTTAGTCGCACCAACACCGTCACCTACCCACACACAAACACCCACTCACCCACACCCACATCCCACCCACATTCACATCCACACCCACGCACCCACACCCCACCCATATCCACATCCACACACCCACACTCACATACCTCACACCCACATCCACACCCATATCAATTAATAATATTTGAATGATTATTGAGATACCAGAACGTAGAGTTGGTGTGGATGTGGATGTGGGTGGGATGTTAGTGAACAGAAGATCTAAACTTATACCGACCCAAACCCACACCCACATCTTTTATCAATAAAATTGCTCAATTTATTCTTATAAGAAAATTCTTCCATATAACCTCTTGAATCAATCAATTCATCAGCCATTGGACACGTGCCATATTATTTTCTATTCTCTCTCGAACAGACTTATCTGCAGAAGAATATTTCTCGCACATCTCCAATGCTTTTCTATAATATAGAATGGCAAGACGATATTTATGCATTTTTTCATAAACGTCACCAATAGCATTTAAAATATAAATAGTGTTATAATGATCCAATTTTTGATAAATTATCAATGCTTGTTCGTAGTATGATCGAGCTTTAAGCTTACATTGTTTGTTTTCAAGATTCGCTTTTTCAACATAAACATCACCCAGAAACATTAAACTGTCAGCTATATCAACATGATTCGCTGGAAGACATTCTAATTTCATATTTAAACTTATTAAATAGCATTCTAAAGCTTCGTCAAATATTTTTTTCTCAAGAAACATATTCCCGATAGTATCAATCCAATCAGCATGTTGAGTACGAGGAGAAGCTTGTTCGATTAATCTGACAGCTTTCATGCGATACTTCAATCCAGTTTCATCATTACCTTGTTGATACAAACAAATTCCCATATTATCATAGTTACGAGCTAGTCGAATAAAACTAGGCTTTGTTGGATTTACATCTTCATTTTCGTGAGCCTTTTTAAAATATTCAAATGCTTCACTATAATTACCCATTTCACGATAGATAATACCAATATTAGTTAAACAATCTGTCATATCTTCATGTCCGAGAGGTAGCAATGCTTTTGCAAGATCAAAAGCGCTCTTTGAATAGATCAATGCATCATCGTATTTGTGTTGTTTAATTAAAACTAAACCGAAATACGTTAAAGTACTTAAAAGATTAACATCATGTATATCAGAAAATAAATTCTCTCTCATTTTCATCGATTTCTCCAGATAATCAAATGCAAAATTATAATCTTTCTTCAAATAGTAAATATATCCAATTTTACTTAAAATTTTAACAATACTAATATGTCCATTTGGAAAGACATTTTCTTTATTTTTCAATGAAGCAATATAATAATCTAAAGCTTCATCGTATTTTCCTTGATTAGTTAATACATGAGCAAGATGATTGAAACTCGATCCAATACTATCATGTCCGATTGGAAGACATTTTTCATTCATTTCTAAACTTTTTTGATGATATTTCATTGCATTAGCGAAATCACCCAGATCGTTAAATACAGTAGCTATATGATCCGATGTTCTTGCTATTTCTCTATGTTCCTTCGGCAAATATTTTTCTTTCATGTCAAGACATCTTATTTGATAATCTAATGCACGATGATATTCACCTTTGATACGATAGATTATTCCAATACTTCCGAGAGAAACAGCAATCATAGGATAATTCGAATGATCTTGGCTAATTTTTAGCGCACGTATATAATAGTCTAGAGCTTGATCATATTGTCCTCGAATGCTTAAAATTGAGCCAATATCATTTAGTACACAAGCTGAAGATCCTACACGTGGAATCTCAGTATTCAGTAACATATCATATGAATGTTTATAATATTCCAAAGCGTTTTCATAGTTTCCTTTATTAAATTCGGACATACCTAAATAATAATAAATAAAAGATACATCTTCCCCATTTGGATTTTCTAATAGATGTTCAAAATACTGTTGACATTTGTCATATTGTCCAATTTCTGCAAGAAGACGGCCATAGATAAGCTTTGCACTTGATGTATTTATATATCGTCGATGTTGTTTAATATATTGTTGAGCAAGTATTGATCCTTCATCTGTTGTTTTCATTTTCACTACTACAATATTCGATAACAAATCTCTCGAAACAGATAGTATTTCAAAAGCAGCATCCAAATCAAATAAAACTTCTTCTTCACTTGGATTGTTACTATAATGAGCAATCGGAGCCAAAATAATCGAATCGGTGTTGTGCAGATCACATTCAATTTCAAATAAAATTCTTTCTTTTTCTTCTCTTGATTCCGTAATAAATGTCAAAGCAATAGATTTCTCAAAACTTGTTGATAAATATCCATTTGTTGAAATAAGTTTTCCCACACTAGATTCTAAATTTTTAGCTTCATCTTTTGATATTTGAACACCACGATATGTAACTATTGAATCTAATGATTCTTTTAATTGTTCATAATCACACAAAAGATTTTTTGACAGATCAGATATAAAATAACGAAATTTATATAAGAATTCAATATCTTCTGTACGTAAAGCTTTATTTAGATGATTGTATAAAAATGATTCTTTCGTATACCACAGAAGAGCATCTTCGGATTTATATGTTTGATCAAAATTTTCAATTAATCTCATTTGTTTATTATTATTACGATTGTATTCTTTTAATTTTTCGATTATTTCTTGTTTGGCTTGTTCATCATGAGGTAATTGAAGGATAACATCTTTGAATAAACGTAACCAAAGAAATGAACCAAATTCTTTGGATAATTGACGAGTTGATTTTTGATGTTTTTCATAGAATTTGAATGTTTCAATTTGTTTATTAACTAGATCAATATGATCGTGAATCGATTGAAATAAATCTTCAAATTTATCGAATATACCAATTATTTTCGAATATTTATCGAACATATTTTCACCAACTTTATGTTCTTGATCAATTGAATAAATAAAAATCGAATTTAATTGTCTGAAATCATTTATCAATGGTAAAATTTCTACTACATATGACGAAGATGATACGAAAAATATTGTTTCACTTTTCGGTGTTGATTTAATAAAATCGATACAACTTTGTTGATCATGATGAAAAGTAAATAAAATATCATTGCATTGATTATAAACATCATCTTTGATAATGTTGATATCATACCAGATGAATATAATACGTATTGTCATACTGCTGCTAAAAACAATAATGTGTTTATCGACGATCGAAAAAAAAGAAAATAAAAGCTATATGCATGCTGTGAGATCATATAAAGTAACAAAAGAATGATAAGCAGACTGAAGGAAGATAATGTATAAAGAAAAAGGTGAAATTTTCTCGTTCTCTAAAGACGGAAGAAAACAAAAGAGTGTTACCAATGGAAAAAAAAGTATCCTTTTACAGCCTATGAATCATGGAATCCTATTTTCATTGGAATTACAGGAGTTAGAAAAGAACAGTTAATAAGCTAATAGTATTATCAAGAATAAAAACCAGGTCGCTTTTGTTTCTCGGCTTATTTCTATCGGCACGAAATGACAAAAAAAGCCATCGTGGGAAAAAAATTGGATTTCGCTGTTCTGAGAAGAAATTCTTAAATTATAATCGATATTTTTTGATTACAAACGACATCTATGTTAGCAGAGAACCAGTGATGCATCAGAATAAGCAGAATAATAAATTCCCTGAACCAACAACATTTCGTATCCATCCACTGAGGATAAAAATAGGCTTATAATAGTGATTAGTAGATGTCATCGCCATTCATTGTGCTGAGTGTGGGTTTCGGTATAGAGCAGCCCTAACATTTATATACATCCACACCCTATCCGTACTCACATACATCCACACCCACACCCTTTTTGATCCTTGACATTTGTGAAGTTTCTATCATTTGGCTAAGTCGAGTGTAAAGATTTCGCATGTAGCACTAATCGTAGGATACATGATTCCATGAAACATATACGAAATTCTCTATCTGTAATCGTGAGAAATTTAATGTTTGCTTAATTTCATTAACTATCGTGTTAGAAGCAGTATCAAACATACCATGTTCAACCGTGTTGATTCATGTGAACTCCGACACAATCATACATGACGAATTGAATACTTAGGATATATTTTATGCTTTTAGTTTTCGCTATAATGAAAAAATAATTTATCCATTTATATAATGTTATTTTTGTCGCAGAATCTAGTCGTACCATTCGATAAAGTTGGTCAAGTTCTAACCGACACCGAACAGTTCATACTTAGAGGTTTGCATTGAATGAATTGTTGTGGGAGAGAGATCGGATCAGTCTCTAAGCTTCTTTGCACTTCTCGAATAATTTTTCATTCTTGTGGAGTTATTTTCATTATTAGAATCTACGGAGTACCAGTTTTGATTTTATCAAAGGAAGATTATATGAAATTGTGATAGAGACCAGTCCTGAACAATGCACTAATTAATGGCAAGTTCATATCTTTAAAATAAGAAAACTATAGTTCAGTTTTTTGTAAACCGCTATCAAATGATGGTCTATGTGTTACAGGCCTCGATCCACCTCCTCTATCTATCTATCTCTCTCTCTCTTTCTTTGAAATTGTTATTCTTTTTCTTTTCTTTTTTCTTCGCTATTGTCTCTTGTAATATATATGTACGTGTTGTTAAGGACATTTATAGATATATATAAAATAAATAAAAGAAACGTAAGCTCGACGAAGCGAGCTAACACTATGATAGGACGAACATTTTTTGTAACGAAAACAGAGTCGGATTTTGATGTTCAGGTAGCAAAATATATGTTTTTACTGATTTTAGGAAGATTCCTATGTATTTTATATGAGATGTTGTAATTCGGCACAGTTTTTCGCTTTCTGTTCTAATAAAGTACAGTGTACTTATTTAGAACATTCAAGGTGTTTAAAGATCTATTAATATCTCAGTTACTAACAATGATATAGAGCTCAACCTGGAGATAAATATTCTTCGTTGAATGAAGAACATTTTTTGTTCCAGAAAGAAATGAAAATTTTGAAGTTGAGATTATGAAATTAAGTGTTTTTCCAAATTTTGACAACTTTAGCTTGTTCTTCGCTTGATATTCCAATTAGGGACATTTTCTACTTGCTGTTCTGTTTAGAAAAAGTGCTCTTATCTAGAACAAATGCAGTGTTCTTCAAACTACCAGTAATAACTCGCTTATTTTTAAGGATATATTGATGATTTTTACATCATTCGATGCAGTAGACAATGTTGCATTCAATTATGTAAAAAAATTAGAAAAAAAATTTAGGTTAATCTTATCTAATAGAGCTGTTCTCCTCAGCTGTTAAAAAACTATTTCGATTAGGAACGTTGACTCTATCTTCTGTTTATTTAAAAGACACACACCGCTATTCAAAAACAGGTACAAATTTCCAGAATAATAGCTAAGTGTCGACTATTTATTTTGCTTAGGGTTGTCCAAAAGTAGTGGTGGAGGCTCTTTTTTTTCTTATAAATAGCTATAGAAAAGTTTCTTTTTTTACAAATAGATAGAGTGTCTTTCGCTCTACCTTTTTATGCTATTTGATCAGTATCCAATTAAGAACATAGTAATAAAACTTCGACAAAAACTTTTTTGTCGAACTCTAGCTGGTAACAATACTGCATAGAATCATCTACATGTGTTTTTTTTTTCATTTTTTCTGGATTTTTTTCTTGTTCTTTCTTTCATCATCGTCTTCTTATCTCTTATAATAACTAACCCTCTCCATATACATTAACACGTGCGTCGTATTGGTTTTGCGTGCACGTGCCGTCTACTTGTTTATATTCGAAAAAGTCAGAAAAATAAAATCGAGTTTAACTTTGGCCCTATTTTCTTGTTCCAAATGACTACAGAAAACTTTCGTTTCTACATTAAAGTGCGTACTGCACTTAATATTCAAGCAAGAAGTATTCGTGATGAATTATATTCTGTTTATGGTGATCAAGCTCCCTCTCTCAGAACAGTGGAAAGATGGTCCAAGCTGTTTCGTGAAGGTCAAGAAGAAATTGAAGATGAAGCACGACTTGGGAGACCTATCACTGGAACAACATCTGGAAATATCGAACAGATTCGCCTTCTTATCGATGATGATCCTTATCTTACAATAGAAGAGTTACAAGAGCAAACTGATTTAAGCTATGGCACGATTTTTCGAATCATCACCAGTCATTTAAACCTTAGGAAGGTCACCGCACATGTTATATCCAAAGTTCTCACCGATTTTCAACGGACTGAACGAGTTCAAATATGTAGAGAAAACTTATCAAAATTTCAATAAGGAGCATGGCGATTATGTGATATAATAACTGGTGACGAATCATGGTTTTATCATAACCAAATTGGCCGAAAGTCATCAAACGCAGCGTGGGTGAGAAGAGGAGACCCTTCACCTACTGTAGTTCGACAAAGTAAGTATGCTTCAAGAACCTTATCAGTCATCTTTTTCAAGTTAAATGGTCCTCTACTGATTCATCGTTTGGGACGAGGACAAACCATGGACCACCAGTGTTATATCAACAATTATTTTCGTCCTCTCATCGATGAAATTGAACGGCAAAGATCTTCATATGGAACCCATAACATTAAAATTCATCATGACAATAGAAAACTACATGTTGATAGAGATGTGTCTGCTTATCTCGAATTGAAAGGTTTCATAATAATGCAACATCCACCTAACTCTCCTGACTTATTACCATGCGATTTTTGGTTATTTGACTTAATCAAAGAAAATCCGACCGATCAAAGTGATTCACAATCATTATATGATGTTGTGGTCAATTTCATGTATTCTTTGAGTAACGAAGAATATTAAAAAAACATTTGAAAAATGGATTGAAAGAACGCAGTTGTGTATAGATAATCAAGGTGATTATTTCGAACATTTGATAAAATAAACAATTGATAAACTTATCCTTATATTTTTTTTTTGTTCTATCACTATTACTTCTTGTCCACTGTGAAATACATAGATGGTTAGTTTTTATAAGAGATAAGAAGAGGATGATGAAAGAAAGAACAAGAAAAAACGGGAAAAAAACACGTGCAGATAATTTTATGCACTATTGTTATCTGCTAGAGCTCGACAAAAAAAGTTTTTTGTCGAGATTTTATTACTATGTTCTTAATTGAACACTGATCAAATAGTATAGAAAGATAGAGCGAAAGACACTCTATCTATTTGTAAAAAAGAATTTTTTCTATAGCTGTTCATAAGAAAAAAAAGAGCCTCTGCCACTAGAGGTGTAAGCCGATAGGCTGATCGGCGGCGGCGCCAGTTTTTTAAAATTTTTTAAAAATGCTCGGCGGCGCAGATATGATATTCTAAGGTTGCACAGCGGCGGCGGCTCGAAAATTTTAAAATTTCGAATACTATCGGCGGCGCGGCGGCTGTAATTAAAGTGTCTCAGCGGCGGCGGCTTGAAGTTTAAAAAGTACTACATTATCATAAAAATATTAGTCTATGGCCTTGTCTACACTAGGAATATAATGTAGTATCAAATTCGTGTTACATCAATTCGTGTCTACATTTGACAGTTAATGCATCAATCAGAATCCTAGACGTCGAAATGAATCGTGGTTTTTGTTCACTTCAATCATAGAGGACTCGTCCATTGAAAATTGTGTCAGTCTCATTAGAAAATCGAATCAGACATTGATTGGTGCATCAAATTTAATGTTGTTCTGAAATGTGCAATAAATTTAATGCACTTTTTAAAAGTGTTTTAAATATTTACTAACTGTTCAACCAATCATATTTCTTAATTCAGCGTCAAAATTTTTAGTGTAGACAAGGCCTATTTCAATATCTTGGCCTTTTTATTTTCAAACACATATGTGGAAAAACTTTATTTCACATCTAGACATAATAAAAAAGTCTATAATTAAAAATAAATATAATTGCCAGGATAAATAATAAATGAGAAATCACCACCACGATTGTTAATAAGTAAAAGCACTTAGCATACTCAAGTTTGTTGTTTTTATTTTGTTTTTGTTAATTAAAATTTAAAATGCTCGTCTCTTCTTGTATTTCTAAATATATCTAATATAAGAGACATAAACTAAAATGATAACTTAGAATTTTCAACCAACACAGAATTAAGGGTTCATTCACAATTTAGAACCCCAAGCATCTGATTGGTCAGAGAACCAGCATGAAAATGAAGGTGAAGGCGAGAAAGTTAATGAAAAAGAGATATATTGGGGTTCTAAGATGTAAAAGTATCGAATTAAGGAAAATATAAATGAAATGTTATCGATATTTACAATAGTTGCCGGCGGCGGCGGCTCGATAATTTTAAAATTTCGAATACTATCGGCGGCGCGGCGGCTGTAATTAAAGTGCCTCAGCGGCGACGGCTTAAAAATTTCTAAAATTTCTACTGTCATGGCGGCGGCGGCTTAAAATTTTTCGAGTTTATCGGCGGCGACGGCGGCTCAGCCGCACGGCTTACACCTCTATCTGCCACTACTTTTGGATAACCATAAGTAAAATTTTTCAATATTTAATTAATACTTCATCCAGTCTTTAAAAATTTCATTTATTGCACACAATAAAAAAAAACAATTCAAATCACATTGTTACTCTCACGTACAACTTTGTTTTTCGGAGAAGCTAAATTTTATCTTTATTTTCCATCATTACACATCGATGCATTCTTCGATGTTGTGGCCAATAATCAGCTGTTGCATAATGTTGTGTTGTCCGTTCATCCCATAAACAAACATCATTTTCATTCCATTTCCATCGACATGTAAATTCTGGTCTTTTATTGATTAATGAAAATAAATATTGTAATAGTAAATCACTTTCTTGTTCATTTAATTCACTGATCTTTGTGGTATAACACTTATTAACATATAGATATTTTTCTTTGGTGTGTGGATGTTCACGAATAACCGGTTGTTTGACTGGTGGATTCGTTTCTTTAGTTTTCATGAATTGCTCCATAGAAGCAGAATCCGGTTTAATCAACGGTTGATATGCATATGCAAATGAATGTTCGGCTACGAGTGTACTGAGAATTGCTTTCATTTCGTTTGATAATTCTTTTTTGTAAATTTCAATCATATTTGCCCATAGTGTATCACCACCACCTTGTTTTGGCACAATTTTTGCATAGAGCATACCAACTATTGGTGGATTTGTTGACCATGTAGCATCAGTATGCCAGATATCAGAATCTGGTTTTTTATTCGGATCGATATCTAGACCATATTCCAATACACTTACTTCCGGACATTCGGTCGTATGCAAAAAAATCGGATGCACATGTGGTTCACCAAATAAACGGGCGAAATCACGTTGTTGTATGGGTGTTAAATTTTGATTACGAAAGAAAAGCACATGATATTTGTAGAGTGCTTGTTCTAATGCATCTTTTTGAGCCTTGGTCAATGGTTGGGATAAATCCAAGTTGTGAATTACAGCACCGATACTAGGTGTTAGGACTTCGATGTTGAGTTGTTGACTAGTAGTCATTCTCTGTGTAAAGACGTTGCTGATTATTTCCAGATGGCAACTGAAACGAAAAATGCCCTTACGTAAATATTAAATAGAAGAGCTCTTTATGTGAACAAATGAATAATCAAGATAAAGAAAAGCAAAGAAGATATTGCAAAGATAACAAATCATACCCAAAGTGTACTTTTGAAAGGTTTAAAACATTTCAACAAAAATATTCAGAATGGACCTGTTTCAGGTGTTTGAACATGCATTTCTATATTTCTTCGTGATATTTTATCGTCAGTAATGCGTTGATTTATATTATTCAACCCTCAATTTCGATTTAGCATCGTTATAAACATGTGTTATTTGCATTTCATGAGTCATCCACAAAGAACAAAAGAATTTTAAGAACAGACCTCTTGCCTGTCGGTTCTCTTTTGTGACAAGCCTATGAATTTTCAGATAGTATGTTTGAGTAGGTGCTTTTCATTTGTATAAGTTTAGAAGATATTTGATGTAAGCAAATAGAGAACGGTGCAGCATGTCTCTTGCAAGAAAATACACGGAAATCGTTGATAATAATCGATTCTTTTCCAATGGAAGTGACGTGTGGTGTGGGTGGGTGTGGTTTATGCTTTCTTTTCATATAGCCACACTCTTCGAGGGTGTGGATAGGTGTGGGTGTGTGGGGTGTACATGTGCATGCGTGCATGTGTATGTTTCTCTTTTGAACAGCACTAAAAATCACATCTACACCCACAATGTGTAGGTATGGATGTGGGGTGTGAATGTGGATCGGTGGGTTGATCTTCTCTTCACTCACAGTCATCTATCCCCTTCCCCCAACCTCAATAGTGAAGGGAAAACTAATTCACAGCCTCATATCCTCTTGCACTTCACCCACACTCTCAAGTGGTGAAAAAGGATATTATCGAGTTGCAATATGAATATTGTTCTTAATAATAACATCGATTAACTTATTCAATTGTTAGTATCATTTCTATTAACTGTCACATTCTGAAAGCATGTTTTGAAAGAATTGTTTTGAAGCCTTTCATAGGTTAAGTCAACATCAGTCATGCAAAAATCAGGGAGTGCAGTTACTTGAAGATTAATATCATTATTTTTATATACCTTAACACGATCGGTGCACCAGTGCCATAAGGGTTAATATTTACTTTCTATACAAAAAAGTTGAGAAAGTGATAGGAACTTTCTTGCATTCTAAAAATTTCCACGCTGCTTGTATACACGAGCGTAACATTAATTAACCTAAGATACATATGTATATTCAATATGACTCTCTTTGTAGTCAATGAAAAAGAATTGATTCACAGTCTCATAATTTTGTTTATTTTTATTCTGATGAATACGTTTTCTATCATCTATATATCCGACATCAACTTTGATCAAAAGAATTAAAGTGCAATTAACCAACATTTAATTAATGAAACTTCATAGTCGATCATCTTTGCTGTTGGCTATCCGTAAAAGTACATTTCTCATTCAATTTTCGTTCTTTATTTTTCTTTTTCCTATTAACAAAATCGATAATTTTATTTTTTTCTATGAATCAAAATATCTGAGGAAAACAATCTTATCTATGCATTCACAACCAGAGTAGAGATCAAATACAAAGTAGCAAACTTTAAATTGTTAAATAAACAATCTGAAAGACAACATGTTCATCTTCTCAATCGGTTGTTATATCTATAATTTTTTTTCAAGAAACGCTTTGTTGTTAAAATCTTAGACAACTTTTTACATGAATATCAATAGGAGAATGCAATGATCAGGGAATGGCGTAATTTGAAGTTCATGAAACACTATGAGATGAATGAAAATTCAAGCTTATAAAGATTCTGTTTTTGAAAATAATCGAAAATTTTGTTGTTCCTCTAAAACAAAAACTTACATTACTTCTTTCATGCACTTCAGTAAATATTTCTTTGACGACAAAACTTGAATAGAATTTCTTTCTGTCTTTTATCTAGATTCATAAACTTAACTTTCCTATAGCATTGTATTGATGTCATAGAAACATATTCTTGTCCCTTTACATGTTCCTCATCGGTCATAAATAATTCGGACACACATGAATATACAGTAATAAAGAGTGGGCGAAAACAATATGTTCTTATCTATAAACTCAAGAAGAAATATATTGTCTATAAGTGTATGATATCGAATTATCCTTTATTGCCATAGACTAACATAAGAGTAGAGAAGTTATCTTTGCATATCATCAATTACATGGCTTTCTTACTTTTTATTATTTTTGCCACTATCGTAATACAATGTTATGGATCATTTCAAATAAATTCGAATGAAACATTTGAAAATTCTTCAGTAGTATTGCCAACAGTACCTGATGATGATATTTATAAATGTATCTCGTATACAGGAGCTCATATCGATACTTCACATTGGATTAATCAAAATTTCTCTGATTATAAAGATTGTCAAACATCAGGTTTATACAATCTAAATAGAAGAGATAGACATTTCAAAGTTGATATTATTATTCAACATTCATGGATTGTTGATGTAAATTACAAACAATATTATTCTCATTAATAAAAATCTGTACTGATTATTTTAGGTTTCAGTGATTATATACGATGGAACTATTAGACCGATTTGTGGTATTAATTCTGTTAATTTTATTATTCGACCAACAGATAGTTGTGAAAGAAATGGTATATAGAATTAAATATTCAACAGAAAATTACATGTAGTTTTTTAGGCATTAATGCGACAATTACAGAAACAGAACGGTTTGAAACATTGTCTCTATATTATGAAATAGGCAACTTAACAATCATCATGACACATAATGTGAGATTTTGTTTTTTAATTATTTGAAACTATCAAAGTTGATTTAATAGCCAAAAATTTATAAAAATATTCTCTTAGATTTTTTCAAATTCTTCAAAATATATATGCAATAACAAAATAATGTTTATCGAAATGAATATGAATTCAATTGTCCGATGATTTAATAGCTAAAACAATTATTTATCATTTTCTTAGGAAACATTCTCGATACTTTTGCATGAACAAAAGAAATAATTAGAATACCAATATGTGTTTATTTTCAGAAACGTGGAGAACCTCTTCATTTCAATATTAACATTTGGCAGTTACAATCAGCTATTAATGATTCTAATGGTCTTTGTGCAGGTCCGACATGTAGTTCTAAAGCTAGACATAATCTCTACAGAAATTATCAAAGATCTTCTTATCCTACTGGTGTCATTGTACTTATGTGTAATATTTATATTGGTAATTATCTTAAAAGTATGGCACCTCAACCATGGGAACGATCATTTCATTACAATAGAACCATTGAAAATGTACAAAAAGCATGTAGAGCTGATATACAAATACAAGATTGGCCTCATGTAAGTTTCTCTTTCATATTGAAAATCTTTGAATAAGATCAATTTTAAACGAAACTAATCACAATAATGTCATATGAAGAGTATTGACATGATAAAGAGCTCTAATCATTTTCTCACTCCAGGCAGCAGCAGGAAGTCTTGAAGTATTATTTGTCGAAGATCAAGTAAATTCAACATCTATCACAACAGTGACTGATATTCAAATTAATTTTCAAACAAACTTAGAAGATAATCTTATCAAATTAGCGGACACAATGGACTTATCAAGAGCTGAAGTCGATATATTACTTTCGAATTTGACAACAACAACCACAACCACACCTACAACAACAACAACAATGTCTACAACAATGAGAACAAGTATCGAGGTAGATTCTCTTAGTTTTTCTATTATTAATTTGCTATATTCTATGGGAAGTGGTGTTCAACAACGAAACCTATAGATAGCAATACTAAGAATAACTACACTTTACTATTCTTAATAGAATTACGACCATCTTATAAACCCTAGTAAGCATCATTGGAGTACGGAAGACATATGTAATGAGAGAAACAAAACAATGTCTTCAATGTAACTAAATTGAATTTAATTCTATAGTTCTCTGTCATTTCTAAACGAATAATAATAAAACTTTTCTTCAGTATCATGTATACATCTTCGTCTAGATCAATTCTTTAAAAAATCTATAGCGTTTCTTCGATGTGTGAACTGTGTGGATTTCATTTAGACAATATTTTAAATTTTCTAAAAGTTTAGCTTAATAAGATCGTAACTTTTCATCGGAATAATTCTTAACATATAGAGAGAATCTTGGTTTCCGTCATTATTATATAAAATAAGATTTTATTTACTAGAGTCAACCGACTACCTTATCGACAAGTACGAGTAGAATTACATCAACAATGACATCAGTGACATTTACATCTACTGGAACATTACCTCCAACGTCAATAATAATAACAACAACAACAGAATCGCCCAAAACACAGGTTTGTTTTCAAAGAGAATTTTACTCATAATCGAAATAATAATAGAGGAATTATTCAATCATTTATGACATCTAGATAATGTGATCGATACAATAAAACGATCTAGATTTTTTTCTAGTTACTAATCAAACTTAACTAAATATCGATAAAGGAAGACTGCCGATGAATGATTAAATCGACCCAGTCAAGAAATTCTATTTCTATGTAATATTCCCACACCAGATGATCGGAAAAGACTTCCAGTAGACTTTGCTATATAATGTCTCCTTGTGTTGTACACAGATCGATTGAACTAGTTAATAGTTGTCGCATATATATATATATATAAAACCTCACTGTATGTGATAATTTTTGATGGTTATTTAGTAGATTCCGATCAGAATTATTGTAATGTGAATACAAAATAATATGATAATCTGAATAAGTATGAAAAAATGGACGCACTTCAGTGTACTTCATATATATACACGAATTGTTTTGTTGAAAGCTTAACGGTAATTCTCTTCAGAGTTCAATGATCAAAGAAAAAAATTCATCGAAAGGTTATGTCGGTAGTGACGGTCAAGTTCTATATTTATAAAAAGACAGTAGAACTCCAAATGACCCGTAAGTCAACAATAAAAGCAGCGTTCGGATGAAATTCATTTTTCATCTTAACCGTGAAGGATCCAAAGTTAAATATTTCGAAGAGAAAATTTTGAAATATATTCAAATCCACACAGTTTTCCAGGAGCGCAAAAAAAATGGCTCGATAATAGTGTTATTCGAATTTCTTTTTGTAGTCTGTATTCTCGCTACTTTTTTTTTGTGAAAAATACTAATTCTTTAGAATAATGATGATTTTTTTTTCAAAATCAAATAAAAATAAATTGTCATTTACTAGACTTTAATTAAAACAACTAAAGTATTCTTAACATTTGACTATACAACGACACAATGTGAGTTTGTATATTATGGAAAAATAAAATATACTATTTTTATTTTGTTTAGCGAACACTACTAATATGGCTATGATTATTGGATGTAGTACACGAGAAAATATTATTCTTCTAGGATTATTACTATTCAGTGTGATCTTCTATATTTAATAGATCAGATCAAAGCATATTTGTAATGAGACAACGATTAACAGTTCATTTAACATTGATAAAATTCAATAATAAAAGTTCCTATTTTTATCGGATTATTCGATAATATCAAAGAATATCGATGCTAGAAATGTATCAGCATGTGGTTTATTTATTTTTCAATAAAGAAAATAAAATAAAAGATATAGTTTGCATGTTTTTTTATAGTTGATTGTTTGAGGTTATATATCTTTACAAATCAATTGAAATAACTGTTTATGAAGCAGTTTCAATGCATCAACACTCAAAGGAAATATTTTCATTTCATATGTTATGAAAGCCGTATTATATTTTTCAAATAAAAATACTAAATGTAAGTTTAAAGTTAACGTTTTACTTGCTCCTCCTCCCTATCACACTTGCCAGTTAAATCGATCGTTCGAATAATAATAATAATAATAATAAGAGAATAGGAACAAGACAGTAAAGGGCGTGGGTGTAGGTTCTAGAGTGAATTATTCACTCTGGAACCCACACCCCACACCCACACCCGAAAAAACTTGAATGATTAATAAGCTATTAAACTTCTCATGTTTAAACAAATATTTAAGTCAAAACTAATGTTTTACGTATAAAAGACTTTACAGAAATAAACTATTGTTTTCAGAGGGATCTTTTTTTAACTATGACTACTTCTTGATTGTGGACAAAATTTTCGTCCTCATCCACATTGTCGGCCAGCTAATTGGTTTGATTTTTGTCCGCAATCAAGAAGACACGCCATATAATATATGTATGTCACAGTATATATTGTATCATTTCTGAACATAGACAATGACTAACTTGTATCTGAGCGGTGAGAATATTGGTAATCTGGAAGCTGAACACCTAGCTGAAGCATTGCAAAATAATAAAGTGATTCTCATGATCTTTTTAATATGTGTACGAATACTTTTCTACGTTCTTCACAGACTCTAGAAATACTTAATCTTAGTTATAACAAAATTGATGATAGAGGTATACAGCATATTGCAAATGCAATACAAAATAGCAAAGTAAGTTGGTTACCATTGCCTTTTTCTAAATTTCTATTGGAAGTTTAACAGACATTGACTAAACTGGAACTCCGTGGAAATCAGATCGGAGATATTGGAGCAGAGTGTCTAGCTAATGTGTTAATTAATAATAATACGGTAGTTCTTCATTGTCACACAGCGACGTACCCAAGAATTTTTTTAGGGGGGGGGGGGGATCGCCATAGAAAAAAGGTAATTTTTAAGTTGGGAAAAATAATAAAGCCGTACCCCCCTTCAGGTATTTAAACATGTTAGGGGGGGACCGGTCCCCCTATTCCCACCCCTAAATACGTCGCTGTTGTCACATAACTATTTTTCACATCGCTTGTCTCGGATTCTTAGACACTCACTATAATGGAGCTTAAAGAAAATCGTATCAGCTATGCGGCACTACAACATTTGTCTCAAGGGGGGAAAAGCGGATTCTCTCGGATCCTAGGATCCAAAAGAATCCGACAGGATACACAGAATCCGGTAGGATCCAAAAGGATCCATAGGATCCAGAAGGATCCAAATGGATCCGTAGGATCCGAAAGAATCCAAAAGGATCCGACAGGATTTATAGGAATACAATACAATGCCAGTGTAAAATCAGAAAACTAATGATTTCTTCATAATAAATTAAAGATATTCGATAACGCCTTCCACAGACCCTGGTTTGTAGCGATTCTTAAAAACTTTCGCCCACGCGAATTTCATAGGTTTCGTTCGAATATAGCACTTAATGGTAAGTTAGAAAAGAAAGTGAGGACTAAACTTATGATTGCTGTCTATCGGTCATTTTGACTGATGAAATTCTATTAGATCATAAACGACTTTTATGAATGCTCAATAGGATTGCAGTTCTTTGCTCCTGTATGAAATGACGTTTGCTATTAACAAGTTTCAGAATAACTAATGTTTATTTTAGAGACGAATAGGCGAGGATACTATTTGCGTAACCTGAAAATGATATAAGTTAAAGAGCTAAGATTTTACTAATATTTATTCAGGACTTTGCTCTCTCTTTTTGAAATGTCGATAAAAGTCTTCAGTTCTTCTCACGTATTGAATACAGCATGAGTTTTGAAGATGAACTGAATCTAAAATAAGAATAATACGCTTTGTTGATCAAAACATAATGAACAGATAGTCTAATTGTGCGTGCATCGATCCATGAAAGACTGAAATAGGTAACTGTTTGTGTTCCAAAAAGAAAAGCATTATACTAAAATTTATTTATCGAGCCTTTTCAAAGCCTGACTGGATAATAAATCTTGCCTTTTCTAACTAGTGAGGCGTGTTTGATCCCGTGACATTACTTATTAACCTTTGTAATTCTTTTAACTCTGAATGTCATCAAAAACTAGATATTTAATGTGGAGATGCACCAATTCCAATTTTAGTCAATTCCAATGCTTAGGATTGGTTGGACTTGACTGAATTTGCAATTGAAATTGATTGGTGTTGAATAGAATTGATCTGGAACTGACAAAATCCGACATAGAATTGACTACGATTCGTTCTTAGTCACACTCTGTTGTCCTTATCTCCTGCTACATAGTGATGCCCTTAGATTCCCAAACTGTTCTATGGAGCTAAGCTTAAAGGGTGTGGGTGTGGGTGGGTGTGTGTGTGGGGTGTGGATGTGGGTATACGTGTGGATAGAGAAAAGAAAGACCCACACCCACACCCTTTTCTCCTTTTTGTTCCTGTATTGAGAAAAATCGGTTTTACGGGTACTATACCGGTTTTAGGTAGTATTCAACGGTTTTTGGATTCAAATAAGATTTTGGGGTAAAAACTAAATACAGATTCTGAATCAGCATAAAAAATTGAGTCAAATGAAGTATCTTTCAAGCTCATTTGATAACTTTGATTTTTTGGCACATATACAAAAATTGTCTCTCACCTAGGGCGCCTAAAATAATGACAAAAATTGAAAGTTGTCAAATGAGTTTGAAAGATACT